TCATCATCATCATCATCATAAGGTCGTCAGTCCTAAGACTGGTTGGACACGTATCTCCACTCTTTCCTATCCTGAGCTAAACTTCGCATTTCCCTAAAACTAGAACAGCCCACATCCTGAACTATTTGCGAAGAGTAATCTAATCTAGGTCTACCTCTACCCCTCCTAACTCCTGTTTCTGCCTCTAATATGATCTGACTAGACCTTCATGCCTGAGAAGGTGTCCTACCAATCTATCTGGCCCATTTCTTATTGACTTGCGCAGTGGCTTCTGTTTTACTATTACTACTAACACCTCTTCATTTCTAACCTTCTTCAATCGCCTGCAACACCATATTACGAACGTTTCTAACTTTTTCTTTTCCGCCGCGCCTACCATGTTTCGCACCTGTACAGCGCCGCTCTCCAGATATACACCTTTAACAATTTTTTTCGAATTTCTAGCATAAAAGTGACTTCTTTTTCTTGAAGGCGACTCGACTCTGTGCTGTCCTGTCTTTTATGTCTCTACTGCTCCTTTCATCCTGAGTTATCTGACTTCCTAGATACCGATAATTAGCCTCTTACATTTATATTCGTTCTTACCCTATTTTTTCTTCCTTTGCATTCTAGTATTTTTTGTTTGCTTTATCAATACCGCTTTTATTTTATTGAAGGCCACCTTTAACTCATTTCTACTGGAAGCTAATACTGCTACATCATCTGCAAATCTAAGCATACTAATATTTTGTTGCCCCTGCATCTATCCCTGTAGTTGTCCAATTATCAATGATGTTTGTTACATCTTCAATATTTAGATTAAATGATAAATATGAATATTTTAGTTAATATTATTTTACTCTCACTGACAACAACTGAGCAGCATACATATTATTTTTATTTCGTTAAATGTAACACGTCTACTTATCAGCTACCAAATGCTTTCTTTCTATTTTGTATGAAAATGATAATGATACATTGTGGACGATAATATTAGATGCTGAGGCAACTCTCTCTCTCTCTCTCTCTCTCTCTCTCTTATACCGCTCTCACAAATTTTCATTACTTGTTAGAAGAGGATACGTAGAATACTTAATGTGTACGAAATGTGTTCAACTCTATTCGAGGCAATATAATACCTATGTACTTATGGTGGTATATCGACATCTGCTGATATCTGCTTCTAACTGAACCAATTCATATGTTACTGAAAGGACTTATTAAGGAAGGCACCTACTTCTCTAATTGAATCGACGATGAAGCTTATAAACGTGATGGGCGTGCAAACCAAATTAACAAGAACAGTATAAGCTCCAGGTCAGTAATTAATCGAAACTACCAGACGTCGATCGCAATTTCGGACATGTTAGATCTCATCAGCACGTCATGGGTAGTGTAGATAAGTCAAGAACCAAATCGAAGAGCTCTTAAAAGTAACTTGATGCAATATCTACTTATAGCAGTTCTCCTTGATCAAGGAGAAGAGAAGTCGTGCGAGACGGAACTACACCTGCTACAAGTCCATGGACTTTTGGTAGTGCAAGCTAAAGTCCCTGTTGTCTGAGCTTAGTCATTTATTACGGGACACGGGCGAGGAGTAATAGTTTATTGTTTGTTTATATTGTAATGTTCGTGGGTTTAACAAATTAACTTTTAAGAAGGTAGAAAAACAAGGCAACAAGTTGGCAGAAACAAATGTCGTAGTCCCACTACATATTACTATTTAAAAATATTTCATCCCATAAGCACGAATTATCGTATGTTTAATAGAAATTTGAATTACGATATCGTACATCGTATTTGAAGCAAAATTATCGTATGTCCCCATAATTATCGTAGAGGCTGGCAACGCTGCTAACGGTCCTGACAATCAAATACCGGCAACGGTACTGCCGCCGACCGGAAGTGGTTCTCTTCCGTCAGCAACAATTGTTTCGCCATACAATGTCTCTCTCCTTCAGGTGGAAGAAATACTGTTAAGAATAAGATTAGAAATAAATTATACCTAGGCACCTTTACTCTAACAATAAAGGTAGTTTATAAGAAAAGGTAGCATTAAAATTTGTTGTTAAGATTCAAAGAGGAACAGTTATTTGTATTTTGATCATTAAGAATATATTTTAACTTATTGCAATTGTTAATAAACATTATTTCGATATAATTAAGTTTTACTCCTTTATTTAACGTACCTAGTTAATATTTTAAATTGTTTTGATGTTTTGTACAAGTGGAATCCGTTTTCTTCCTGTTTAAACTTCTTCACTATTCTTTTATCCGTTACCGAAAGGCTTTTGCAGTTCGACCAATGTAGACTTATTTGCAATTTCCACATTCTAACAAAGGTACTTCTGACTTCAATGTTTTGTTATTATTTTTGATGAAATTTGTAATAAGCAGTGGGTTTTATTGGCTCTGAATTCTACCATCTTTTATGAAATTTGAGCTTTTTTCTAACGTCTTCGTAATGGTTTTTACTTAATTTTGAGTTTTTTGTTAATGTATTAATTTCAGTACTTTGTTGTTTTACACTAGATTCAAATGGTTCAAAGAGCTAGATTTGAGATGGTATGCATTACCGGCAGTTTCAAGTATGATGTTTGATTGTGGTGGTCTTCAGTTTACCGCGGTTCCTTTTAATGGCTGGTATATGAGTACCGAAATTGGATGCAGGGATTTGTGTGATAGTCAACGTTATAATATGCTTGAGGTAAATAACCGCTAGAAAGTTAGTTTATCCAGTCTTTTATTTACGTCTAACAAAGCCAACTAATGTAATATAATTCCGAGATAAAAATGTTCAGTCTCTCAGAGTCTCTGAAGGCGAGGCTCGAGTCTACGTCTCTCATCGAATCTCTCTGGTGTCGCTGAAAGAGACTGTTAAAAAAACTGTTTAGCGTTTTGTCTCAATTGTTCAGTTCTATTTATTCAGTTTCTCTGTGACAAACTCGAATCTCTGAATTAACAATTTTATAGTTTGAGTCTCTCATACAGAGACTGTGAGAGATCCATGAAAACACCTAGGCAATAACTGAGAAACTGTGAAAGACTGTGAGAGACTCTGAGATACTGGAGAGAGACTGAAAATTTTTATCTAGAAATGTAGATGAACATCGATTAATATTGACCAAATAAATATAAAGGAGACTGTAACGTACTGATAAACAAAAACAAAGGTCTTACTCCAACTAACCACAACAGTTTAAAATCAACGCGGACAACTTACACGTTGTGAGCGAAACACGTGTCTGCGTTGTTTTTAAACTGTTGAGGTTAGTTGGGGTAAGACTTTTTCTTTAATATTGACCAACATTTCATGATGAAGTATGGTAATATTGTCACAGAAATTCCAACTTTGTCAGTATTTAATTTTCATTTTTTTAAAATTTACTTCATAATTTCTTTACCAATTTTGGGAGAGCAGTTTGAAAATGTTTGTTTGTAGACAGTTGCACTGGGAATGGGTCTTGATACTCGGACTCCAATAACACTTTGGAAAGACAAGGCTATGGTAGAATGCAACGTTGCTGTATTACACAGTTTTCAACAAAAAGGCGTCACGATTGTTGATCACCACACAGCATCCGAGTCTTTCATGAAACATTTGGAGAATGAGGTGCGTTTGAGAAATGGCTGTCCCGCAGATTGGGTATGGATAGTGCCTCCCCTGTCGGGATCAGCAACCCCTGTCTTTCATCAAGAAATGGCTCTTTACCATTTGAAACCATCCTATGAATACCAGGTAGGTTTATTTATTAAATAAAGTTTACACATTCTGGTTAGGAAAACCTTCTCAGTGAGGTAATAATTCCATGGAAAAACGGGGAGGTTGAATTCTTACCAATGAAACGAATTACATATTAACATACAGCTACCGCCATCTATTGAAATTTACAGCTAACTGTATCTGTGACTTACATACATGGAAGGCACGCAAACCAAATAAATAAATAGCTTTGGGTTGTTCGTCAGTCAGTAGTTAATCGAAACTTATTAGTTCTTATCAGCAAACTATAAATAATTTAATAATTATATCGAGATAAATTTTTAACGATTTTTTTTTCTAAACGAATTTATAAAAAACGTATGTACCAGTGTACGTTGAATGCGAAGCACTGTAATAAAACTGTACCTAAGAAATATAATATCCGAATTTCCCAAAAGTATTAAAAGTTTGTGACCCTTTCTGCTTTTCCTGAAACTATTATTATTTTACTTGCAAAACTTTCGGAAATTCGTAGAATTAACTTAAAATATTTTTGATTTGACTCTAACTTCCGCCCCATTCAACGATACTTTACACGGGACACAAGATTAAATATGCTAAGTTAAACTTCCTTGACAGTTTAAAGTAATCCTATAAAGCAGCGTCAAGTGTAGTTTGCGAAGTTTTGTGATTGACTAAGAACGAAGTATGGCATAATACAAAGGTCATGTTTATTAGATATATGATGCGGATTCATCAAATAAGCATACGCCACCTGGTAACAAAACTTACAACTTAAATGAGGGAAAAGTTTATATAGTGGAATGGCGCATGTGGGTCGTAAAACTTTAATTCAATCATAAAAAGCGTTAAATAGATGGATTTCTTGTATAGTGCGAAATCGAATGAAAAGTTGACAAAAGGCTGTAATGGCTCCTTCAACAAAGGTTTTGTATTTCCAGTCCTTCCCGACTGTAAGTAACTTTATATACACAAAAAATATATTTGAAAAGGAAGAATAGAAATGTAAACTAGATGCTTGCAAGGAAGCAATAGTTTCACAAGAGTGGATGCCGGAATAAAAATTTGGAGGTTTGTTTCTGTTAGGTTTTACGTCTTCACCTCTTCGATATAATATTTACAGGCTGTTACTTAGAGTTACCTCACTATTTATTATTAATTTGTTGTTATTTTTATTTATTTCATCTGAATCATTTTGTTTGTAATCAGTAGGTACTAAAATTCACAATAACAAGGTTCACATTCGTATTTTTTTTTCAAATTTCATAATATGTCCTGGAGTAAATACGTGTTTATCTTCAACAAAATTCAGTCAAGGGTTTATGTTGGCCCAATCACGCATTGTGCCAACACTAATCATTTTATATCGCTATTCACTATAGAAAACATAAGAAAATTTTCCTCATCTGCTCCATGTTTTTAGGGTCCTCCCATTTGATAGCATTTCGCTGAACAGAATAAATCTTTAAAAAAGAAAGAAAAACCAACCTAAAACATTTTATCAGTGAATTAATTTATTCGAAGTTAACGAACCGTAAATGATTAAGATAGCTGCTAGTTTGACAGCCGCATTATCTTATCGCCCTTTGTTAACGCAAACGTCAAATGACAAGACACTCATACCTATTCCTGACCTTCGCAACAGCTGGTACACAGACAGGTCGACGATTAGAAGTAGTCTACACTGCGTATACATATAGTTATCTACCACAAAATACAAAAAGAAGTTGAATGTGAAAATATCAAATAAAAAATACATTCACACGCAGAATATGCGGACATGGTGGTCACATAGGGACGGTGCAATGAGAAGCTACTTGCGGCATTACACTTACACACGTCATCACTGCCGGAGCAGTTGGGGTTACCGATAAAGTCATCACTTATATCGACAAGTTCGACGTGTCTTGACTTGTCTTCGATTTTTGCTTATCCCAAAAAATAAAACAAAGAATCTGTATCAAATTTTGTGCAAAAAACAAAATCAAGTGCGTAGACGCATTTCGAATGTTGACTGTGGCATATGGTGACACTATCTTGGGCCGAAGCAACGTTTATCGGTGGTATGTTCTCAGAAGTCCGAGAAGATGAGAACGACGAAGAACGTGCCGGACGCCCGAGCACGTCAACAACAGACGAAATCATTGATGAAGTGAAGAAAATAATATTGGCCAATCGTCGAATCAACGTTAGAGAAGTTATATCGATTGACTCTTGCTATTTGATTTTTACCAATGATTTGGGTATGAGACTGGTCGCTGCAAAATTCGTACCAAAATTGCTCAATTTCGACCAGAAACAGCATCGCGTTAACATTGCTAAGGAGCTGTTGGACTCTGTCCGCGACGACCAAATTTGCTGCAGAAGGTCACAACTGGTGACGAATCATGGGATTATGGTTATAATATGGAAACCAAAGCTCAATTTTCACAAAGGATTTGTGGATAAACAAAAATTTTCTTTTGTACCATGAGAACACCCCTGATCACACATCGTTGCTTGTACGCGAATGTTTGGCCAAAAACAACACACTAATAATGCCCCAGCTCCCATGTTCCCACGATCTGGCCCCTTGTGACTTTTTCTTGTTCCCAAAATTGAAGACGCCCATGAAAGGACGAGGCTACGCTACGATTGAGGAGGTAAAGACTGCATCGAAGATGGAGCTGAACAAGATTAAGGAAAAAGATTTTTTGAAGTGCTTGGAGGATTGGAAAAATTGTTCAGACAAGTGGATAATATCTGGTGGGGATTATTTTGAAGGGGACAAAATAGATATTCATGAATAAATAAATAATCTTAGAAAAAAAACACAAAATTCGCAATACTTTTTAAACAGACCTCGAATATCACTGACTGGTGCGAGATGGTTCATTCTATTTCTTTATCGTATACCTTCTTCTCCCTTAATTTTTTCAGAGTACTGATCGGATATAGTGCATCCCTATGTACTTTGGCATCCTAATTTATTAAGATTCACATAAAAGCTATAACATTTTTACTAAAGTCGTTATCTCAGTACAAAGTTGTATTACGTATGACCTCTTAGGAAGAATTGGGAGAAGATATAACTAGTTAATTAACACACGTTATCAACTCGGGGAACGCTTGTGCAGTAATTCCCGTACTACCAACATTATTATCATTGAAACAGGTTCGTTTTTCTATTACCTAACTGTATTTAACTCGCTCATCAGCCTTTAGAATGTACGACATAAAATAGTTGAGCAGGTTTTTAATCTGTCGTTCAGTCGGTCCATCACGAAATGCTTTGATGTGCGTCTGTTTTCATATGGGATGATTTTGACGAGATTGGTATAATAATGAAGCTGTCATGGAAGCTGATTAACAAACAAATTCTGATTGTTGCAGGTAATAAGTTAATTAAACGCAAATGCGTTAATGGAAACAAACACATGCCTGCAAATAAAAAATTCCTTTAGCAGAAATTCGCATATCTAATTCAGACAATGATGACCCTTCGTATGAGTACATATTTACTGAAATTTGTCTATCAATAGAACTTTTCTAAAATGAAACGGCTAATCAGTCTTTCATAACTGGCATTCTCTGAAGAGGCTTTGATTTTTTAGTCTTATAGCGTGATCCAGGAGTCACCTGACCTTTAAGTGACCTTGAAGTCCAAGGGCACGCTAGCAAGTAAGGTCACAATTTCATATACCTTTTGAAAACATACTAAATTTGTCTAAAATCAATTCCGAAATATCTATTGATGTACAATCATACTCTTTCGGACATTTGATTGTTCTTAATTGCTCATGAATAGTTATATACCGACTGAAAAATAAGTAAAAACAGCACTTCGGATTAAAAACTTACTGGGCTCAAAAATATGTATACTTCATTTACTTTCTCTAGCGATGCGCTCCTTCCAATATACTTCAATTACTTTTTCTGCCGATGTGCTCCTTCCAATGGATGCGCGCTGGCAAAACCGTAGGTAAGGACAAAAAAAAATTTTTGTTCAATCATGAATAGTAGTGCAAGTCGAAAACAAGCGTTAAAGCCTTTAATATGTTCAAATATAAATAAACATCTCGTTGATATTTTCAGTAGTAACTGGTACCAATAACAGCACATTTTAGCAATGCAATTTTAGTGGATGAAATGCTCAATTTTTCCGTGCAGTACTGTACGGATTATAGGCCCCTCACCGGTTAAGAGTTTGGCCGAGAGTTGTCTCCTTTCTTTTCTGACCTAATGCTGTTCTTTTCTACTTTGCGCCGATCAAACTAAAGGTCACATCGCTAGAGAAACTTAACGAAGTATAAATACTGTCGAAAGCAATCGCTTTACACAAAACGAACTCAAAGGTTAAAGTCAAGGTCATATTCGAGGTCACCAGATCTATATAATGCCTGACTAAAATTTAGTCAATTCAGTTAGGGTATTTCGTGTTTTTTAAAGAAAAGGTTCATCCTATACATACCTACATGTGATCGTAAATAGTACCAAATGAAAGCCTATATGTATATATGTAGAGAAAATTTAAAACTATCAAACAATTCATCGTGGCACTGTTCACTTAACTGAAAGTGCAAAGATGTTTTAAATAAAGAAACATTGAATATGGCGTGGGGAACTAGTTTTACTTTAGTTTATTTAACTTTTAAAAGCAACAATAATGCACCATTATAACGGTACAGAACCCTTACAACCGGGATTCTGCTTACACTTACCCTTAATGCTTTTCTTTTATCATTTTGTTATTCCTTGCATAAACTGGAACATTATATGTACATGTAAAGCGAAAGAGTTGTTACAGCTTTTCATATGACAATTTTTACTTCCTTTACTGCCTTTTATGTCAGAGAGTAGTCCATTCTTTTCCATTGCTCTTTGTGCCCCGTCTCTATCTCGGCGGCAGTTTTGACGTGAAAAAGTATTTATAGCTCATACATAAGCAAGGAATTATCTTTAATGATACTGTTTTTTACCGATTAGTATAACATAATTTTTAAGAGTTATGTCACACAAGTTAAATCTTAAAAACGAATTATGTTCAATGAGCACCACCATTCAGTAAAACAATAAACTAAATTATTGACTATACCCACTGTTATCGTCCATCCGCATAAACATTCTTACAGGTTATAGGTTAACGCCCTTAACAATTGTGCTTAGCTTGGTATAAATAACGGCTAACGGCTAATAGTTAATCTTGACAAAATTAAAATCAACATATACATACATATTAAAAAAAACTTAGCTGCCAAAATTACCCAAAGCAGACCAGTCTCTAGTAGTAGCCTCAAATCTCGTGTCGTGATGATGGTGTGAGAGATGTGGTGATTAAAAGTGGCCGACCTAGGGCATTTTCATATTTCAACTAAAGCCTTCTAAAATATGTTTGGAATCTCCCATAATGGTTGAATTGTTTCCAGTCTAATGGATATGTGGGTTACCGGGTAGACCAAATTATATTATATTATACGCCGACATGCAAGTATTATGAATACGAAAATCGTTGTTGAAATCGCGAACGGATACGCAAGATGTGACTTTGCATCACATCAATAATGAAAACAAAATTCCGTCTCTCATGAAACAACATTTGTCTATAAACAAAACTCTATGGAAAAAGTTGGACTTTGCAGCTCCTTTATGTCGAACTGACACAAATGCACCCACGGCAGAAAATGAATGTCATACATGGTTTGCAATGTTCCACTAAAATTTGCTATATTCATTCTCTTATGAATATTTGATGTATTATTGAAATAGTTTATTGAACTGCACTAAATACAAAATGAAAACCACAAATAAGTACTACAGTTATTAACGTCATCAATCAGAATATCTAATTTAATAAATATCAAACAACATCATCATCATAAGGTCGTCAGTCCTAAGACTGGTTGGACACGCACCTCCACTCTTTCCTATCCTGAGCTAATCTTCGCATTTCCCTAAAACTAGAACAGCCCACATCCTTAACTATTTGCGAACAGTAATCTAATCTAGGTCTACCTCTACCCCTCCTAACTCCTGTTTCTGCCTCTAATATGTCTCTGACTAGACCNCTTGGAAGTGCCACATATGGAAAAAAAGTCGAGATTCGGGAAAAAGCAAGAAACCGAGACGGAAATTCCACTTTAAGCAAATTGCGCGGTAAAAAGCATTAAGTGTACCATCAATCCAAAGAATTATCTTAATCTTTTTTTCCAGGGCTGTGAAATTTACATCGAAGTTATTTGGCAGAGCGTTATCCAGACGTATCAAAGCCACGATTATTTATGCTACTGAAACGGGTAAATCTGAAATCTACGCTAAAAGACTGAAGGACTTGTTTAGCCACGCTTTCAATGCACAAGTTGCCTGCATGTCAGAGTATGATATTTCTAGTATAGAACACGAGGCGTTGCTACTAGTTGTAACGTCAACTTTTGGTAATGGAGATCCGCCTGAAAACGGAGAGGTATAACTTTCTTTATGAAAAAATCCTTACATTACGAAGCGCTTCATTAATTATGTCAGAAATTTATAAGGAACAGCATCACCATCATGGTGTTGGACGGGCACCTCCATTTCTTGTTATCTAGCTAATTTTTGCATTTCTTTAAAGCTAAAACATCTCACACGACGACCTACTTATTAATGTTATCTAGGTCGTACTCTGCCCCTTTTCATTCCTACTGCAGCATATGATATGCTTTTAACCATATTAACCTTTCATGCCTGAGAAAACATCCTACCACCTCTCTAATGTCTTTTATTGTCTTATATAGCGCCCTTTTTTCTGTTATTCTTTTTAATCTTTTCTTTCCGCGGGATTTTCATTACCCGCCTATAAAATCATATTTCAAACACTTCTAATCTTCATCAATCTAGAACGCGTCATCTCTATTTAGCTTTGTACTCTACTGTGATGCCAAGGGGAAGAAAAGAAAGAAAAGTAAAAGCCGTTTGTTGCTATTCTCCTCTAATAAATCGATAGTTATCGCTAATTATCGATATATCGAAAACAATTATAGCAACTGATAACTATCGATAGTTATCGATATATATCGATAGTTATCGGTATATCCATATATACGATAATTGCCGGTAGTTATCAATACATCAACAGTTATTTTATTAATGAATATGTATCGATATATCAGTATATTGGAAATTATTAAACACTACTATTCGTAATGCATGCCGTTTAATTATCCATTACTTTTGTAATGAGTAACAGAAAGACATTACATTTCTTAAAGACAATGTAACTATTTTTGTTGAGTGTCTGTCACTTTCTTGAAGAATCGTGGAAGGAATTTACATTGGCAACTTTTAGAGTAATGGTGTAGGTACTGTTTGTTTAGCACTACCTTTTTTTGTAAACTAATAGAAGCATTTTTTCTCTGACTAAACCTTCATACCTGAAAAGGTGTCCTACTAACCTATCTCGTCTATTTCTTATAAAGTCTATAAAGTCCTCTGTTCTCCTATTTAAAAATAAATTTTGTTCGATCAAAAAGGTAAGGCTTTCATGACTGCTCGGTATATAGACTTGATGGCCATTCGATACACAACTTCATGGGTGTTCTCATCGAAGAAGAACCAATTCTAGACCACAGCTATCAAGCCCGCAAATTGAACATAATTACTTTAAACGCATTGATTAGTAAGAAACAAGTTATGATTAATATTTCCATAATTCATTACAAAAGCAATGGATAATTTAAATAATTTACATTATTTGTTACAAAAGTAATGGATAATGTAGGTCATTTGCCTACAGCAATAAAATTGTAACTCTGTTTTTGAAGTACTTATTAAAATAAAACTTGTCTTGTAGTTGTTAATGAAAATATTTTTTTCTTCATTAGGAATTTGCGAAGAATTTGTACCAACTTAGGATAAGTGAAGGCGAAATAATGAACGGAAATTCACAGTTAAGGTAGGTGTCAATACCTTTTTAGTACTTTCCTACCCCTTTTTGCACTATCAACACCCTTCGTAATTACACACAGCCTATACATATAAAATAAAAACCGATGCAGGTGATCTTTCACTGAAATTTCAGTTTCCATTAATCGGATTGTGATCATTCGGAAGATTACCGCTACATTTTCCATTTGATATGTTCATTTTGTTATTGTTTCGTCAGTATCGTTTCGCTAACTTAATAACTACTTGTCAGAAAACTTATTCAATATGAATATTAGAGTGCACATTAATAAAAACGCCGAAATAGTTGAATAGCAGTTAAATGGGGAAGATTGTATCAATAGAGGGAGCCACACGTATGATCTATTCACACTTAAATTCCGTTTGAGCATAAACTGATTAAGCAAATTGTTATCAAGGAATCCAGTTCGGGCTTTTCTTCCTGTGCAATGTATTGCACATGGAAATTAGACCAGCTTAAGTCAGAACTGCAAAGGTGATGCGCGTCATATAGTGACAGAAAGGTAGACCTTGTAGAAAGGTTAATACCTAAAACCACCTTAATATGTGTAATTGTTTATGAACATTTTGAATGGTTTTTTGTTAGTCACAGTAATAATACTGTAAAGGATTATCTACTTCTTCTATTGTTTGCTGCGAGAATTCGTCTTATACTTTTACATATAAGCATTTTTTGTAAAATAGAAGCTAAATTGCACTCCCCAAAATCAGAACAAGATGGAGTTATGATTATACCACATTTGTAAGACATTAATAAACTTAATTTGATACAAACTAAAAAACATATTTATCTTCTGTAAAATGATGTCCGCATAACCTCAAATATGGTTAACCTAACCTAACCTAACGTTAAATATGGTTGCGATTTTGCAAATTTTGATCGTCTTATTGCATTAGCCCACAATTTCTTGTATTTTTTATTATTTGAAGGAAATGGTATCTATTTTCTTTATAATTGGGCACTGCACACTTTGTCATTTTTGTTAAATTTTATAAATTTTCGAAAATTTAATTGGTACGACTTTTTTACACTTACGAGATTTACATTACGCTATCCTGTTGTCAAGGTAAGGATCGTAGTAGGTCGTTGCGACACAAAGCCGAAGAAAATGGTAAAAATCATCTCCATTTACTTAACTTAGCCTTTTCCCGCATAATTTATTTATATCGAGAGGATTAGCCAGCGTTGACATGACATAATGCCGTTTGCCTTAATTATTATTATCAAAATTTTATATAATGGGTACACGGTAATTAACCACCGGTTTCACAGCATAAGTTACCATTCACAATGGATCAAATAGTTTTTCGGAACGGAATGGAATGCCTCTTAGCGCCTGCACTAATTGAATTACATTCATTAAGATCTATAGTTTTTTGTTATCTTTCTTTCAATCTCTTATATAATTAAATGAATCTGTCGTAATAAATATTCCCTTCAGTAGTGTGGACCGACACACATTCCGTTAAAGAGAAATGTGAATTAAAATTATTTTGAAACAACGATAAAACACAAAACTAAAGGAAGAATTCCAAATTCAACTATTGAAAATTAGGTACCATTAGTGGTATGATTTCTTGGTTATAAATTCAGTTTTTTACATGATGTAATTATGTTATTCACCATATATATGGTTACGTTTCCTAAACAGTAGTATGAACTGATGGACTGCGATTGAGGCAAAATCAAAGAAAGGATATGTAGGTACATGGGATGTAGGATTCTTGATTCCTTCGAAACTTATAATCGGTTAAATGAATATATCTATCGATTTGTCTAAACCGTCCGATGGTTTAGGGGAGGTTTTGTTTCTATAAACTCAAAATGGCAGCCGTAAATTACAAAATGGCGGCAGAGACAAAAAATAATTGCGTGCCCTATTGAATTGCATATTAGTCAATAGGTCTTTTAAAATTAAGAAAACTACTTCATATCCACAAGCTCTGTTTAATACTGTTTAATACTTAGACAACCTCATTATGTAGGTAGAATTTCTACATATTTTCTAGCTAAGTACTTAAATATCCCTGGAGATATATAAGCTTCACTAAAACAGTATTTATAATAAAAGTAAAATGTCAATAGAAATTTAAATTAAAAAAATAAAAAATCCGAGTGTATAAAAGCGAACTAAAAAGGTGAAAACAAGATATAAAAGTACATTCAAAATCTGTAAAAAAACANCACGTAAAGTAGACCTTGAGTAGTTTTATATCACATTCTCACGAATGCAAGGGAGAACAGTGTCGCTCCAACTGAGGGCGCCATCTACATGCCACATAAGGCTATGCGCGCACTACAACTAAATTGTTCCACGATAATTTAGTCGATGTGAATAGGTTACGAGTGCGTTAGCAAACTAAACTGTTTTGGTTCCTTTAAAAGAGAAATAATCTGCATTTTATAAAATGTTAAAAAAAGGATTTAGTAGAGACGAAAAGGATAGAAGATACTGGACTCATCCAATAATAAGCCAACGGCTAATCAGTTTAATCAGCTATATCATGAGGATATTAGTCAATAGGTCTTTTAAACTACTTCATATCCACAAGCTCTGTTTAATACTCTTTAATACTTAGACAACCTCATTATGTAGGTAGAATTTCTACATATTTTCTAGCTAAGTACTTAAATATCCCTGGAGATCTATAAGCTACATTAAACCAGTATTTATAATAAAAGTAAAATGTCGTCAATAGAAATTTAAATTAAAAAAATAAAAAATCCGAGTGTATAAAAGCGAACTAAAAAGGTGAAAACAAGATATAAAAGTACATTCAAAATCTGTAAAAAAACACACTGTGAAATATGACAAATAGTTGCAGTCGGAGGCATGACTTCTGCTATAGGTATGGCTGTTACTATTTGTATGCTTCTGACTTATTTATAATATTCGATTGGGTGATTTTTTGCATATTTTTAATTTACTTTTCTACCCAGATCTGTTTCTTTCTTTTTAGTTCGCTTTTTACGCAGTTGCTCTTTTTATCTTTTTTAATATAAGTACCTAAAATTAATATATGTACATGAGAAAATAGAAAGATCTCAAAATGTTACGAAGAACTAGCGATATAAATAGCAACACGAAGGGATGCACTAATATACAAGGAGAAGTGACTACTTCTGCAGCAAGTCCATTGGAATATATTTTTATTAGAGATGCAACGGAAGTTTCATAACGGAAACAAAAGCGGAAACGGAAGTAAATAGTAAATTTTTGCGAAAGCGGAAATGGAAGCGGAAGTGTAACTCTTTAATGCAGTGGTCGTGCGCCCTTTTCGCAAATATGTTGTTACAAATTTGCATCGTTAATATCAACAAAATAATTCCAAATTAAACTTCTTTTTGGCTTCAAAATTGCACTTTTAACTTAATATTTACACCACTGAGCAAACACTACATAAAATAAATAAACGCTACAACTGTATTAGTATTTTCAAAATGAAATTATGTAGGAGAACTGGCTAAAGGGAAGTTGAAATTTCTGGATGCTTTTAGATTAAAATAGGAAACTAACATACGAAATATTAGGAAATGGATTTGGGCCCTAAACTACTTATAATAAATTTATTTGGACAGGGACAATGTAATTTTTAACAAAATTTTTGACAGCTATAACTCTGATACTTCATAAACATAGACGGTTAATAATAATAATACGTTCACAATGTTACAGAGAGTACCCGCACAACATGCAGCTTTGTAACGAGCAATTCAATTTAAATTGTGTATTGAAAACGATCAAGTTCAGCCAACNCGCTGAAAGAGACTGTCGAGAAATTGCCAAAAAAATTGTTTACCGTCTCTGAACGAGAGACTCGAGTCGCTCATAGAAAGATCCTCATTTCGAATCCAGTCTCTCTGTGAGAAACTCGAATCTCTGAATTAACAATTTTACCGTTCGAGTCTCTCATACTGAGACTGTGAGAGATCCATAAAAACACCTAGACTCTGAGAGACTGGAGAGAGACTGAAAATTTTTGTCTAGGGATTAACATACGAAATACTCGGAAATAGATTTAGACCCTAAACTATAATAAAATTAAAAAAAATATTTGCATAGGGACAATATTATTATTAACAAAATGTTGCCGGCTACAACGCTGCATTGACGCTGATACTAAACATAAACATAAACGGTTACACAGGAGTCGTTGAATGTTGGGGCAGGTATCTGTACAAGATGCAGTTCTTCAACGAGCAGTTCCATTTAAATTGTGTTTTGAAAACGGTCAAGTTCAGCCAACAGAAAAACGTAATAAATTTTTACATGTTTTATTGTTCCGATATATTGATTTTGTTCAGTTCCGATAAGCTTCTGTTATAAAAATGCGGAACAACATGCAAAAGCGGATGTGAAAATGCATGCGGAACTTCCGCAATTGCAGGAACAGAGGCAGAGGCAAAACTAGTTTTTACAATGAATTGTTCGTGTCTTTGTTTAAATAAAAATCATTTTAAGCATGGCGTCCTCGAAGTCGTTCATCAAAGCTAACAGTCAAACAGACATGACTTCCAAAAAAAAGTTAAGCAAGGTGGAGTCACTTAAAGGTTCATTCAATGATCCTCTGACTGAAGATACTTTCGGTCCATTAAGTAACGTCAGGTAAATTTTGCACGTAATGAAATGCACGAATGTTTAGCACAAAATACGTATTAAATAACACAAGATTCAACTATTAGTGGTTTCTTTCCTTTAACATTTAGTAAAAATTAAGTTTACGGTGTTGGTATTTCTTTAACGTTTTCTTTATTGTCTACTTATGAATTGCATGTTTTCTCTATTCCATTTTTGTACTAGTAAGATAAATTGCACGAAAAAAGATAAACTGAACATAAGTAGAGAATCTAAAAAGTGTCTCCCTCAAAATGTATATTGTTGTATACGTTCATTTTTTACTTTTTGTCCTACTGAGCATGCGCAGTAATAACCTTGCGCAGTCACCTTGTACAGCGTCCATCTTTATTATGACGTCATGGTTGGAGGCAAATTTTAACAGTAACAATAATGAAAAGAGAACGCTTCTTTTATTAAATAGCTGTCCTATTTATTAATTGTTAGATGTATTCTGCACAGAAAATTTTCATTAAATGTTTTAATACTCGGCACTGCATAGAATGTTTCAGGTTGTGAAATTTTTCAAGTCGTATCCGAACCTCAAACGAGGAGTGCAACGTCCTGCCACACAGTTTTTTTGTTCGCCCATCATGTGAGCAACTCACAAGCGCCTTTTTCAATATTATTTAGAAAAACAATATTTGAAATCGTGATTCTTGCTCGTTTTCAGAATGATTTTTCACCCCCTTAAGGTTATTGTTCCACACATTCGAGGAATTTCCATTTCGATATTTTCCTTCAAAAGCCTTCTAGCATGGATAACACAAGACCCTGCTGTGCAAATTAAATATTGCTTAAATAAACTTTTATTAATTTAATCAAATTATCCCCCGCATTATACTTTTGAACTAAAACGGCATCATTTTCGTACGTCTTTATTTCCTTCGTTTCTAAAACTTGTATGGTTGGTTGATTCTAAAATTAATATACGACAGAAATACGTGTTTAATGTTTATTGTTTTGATTCCAATTTTCAAATAACTGCATGCGAATTCTACGGTCCTTTTTATTTAGCTTATGTACATACATACAAAGATAGTTTTGTTTTGCTTTAGTTGTAAAGGTAAACTATATACATAGGTTAATGTGATGGGAAAATTGTTACTAGTAGAAATATTACAATTGGATATTTTTTGCATAGCATTGGTGTTTCAGATTCGCGGTTTTTGCTCTTGGATCTAGTGCATATCCAAATTTTTGTGCATTTGGTCAATATGTCGACAATCTTCTTGGAGAACTCGGCGGTGAAAGATTATTAAAAATTTCTTGTGGAGATGAAATGTGCGGGCAAGAACAGGCTTTCAAGAAATGGGCTCATCAAGTATTTAAGGTAATTAAAAAAATTGTGTGGGTNGCAAAGGTTGCTTCTCTTTTATAAGAAATGTTAAACCTGTTGTTTATCGCTTAGGAACCAGCATGGAAGTGCCACATATGGAAAAAAAGTCGAGATTCGGGAAAAAGCAAGAAACCGAGACGGAAATTCCACTTTAAGCAAATTGCGCGGTAAAAAGCATTAAGTGTACCATCAATCCAAAGAATTATCTTAATCTTTTTTTCCAGGGCTGTGAAATTTACATCGAAGTTATTTGGCAGAGCGTTATCCAGACGTATCAAAGCCACGATTATTTATGCTACTGAAACGGGTAAATCTGAAATCTACGCTAAAAGACTGAAGGACTTGTTTAGCCACGCTTTCAATGCACAAGTTGCCTGCATGTCAGAGTATGATATTTCTAGTATAGAACACGAGGCGTTGCTACTAGTTGTAACGTCAACTTTTGGTAATGGAGATCCGCCTGAAAACGGAGAGGTATAACTTTCTTTATGAAAAAATCCTTACATTACGAAGCGCTTCATTAATTATGTCAGAAATTTATAAGGAACAGCATCACCATCATGGTGTTGGACGGGCACCTCCATTTCTTGTTATCTAGCTAATTTTTGCATTTCTTTAAAGCTAAAACATCTCACACGACGACCTACTTATTAATGTTATCTAGGTCGTACTCTGCCCCTTTTCATTCCTACTGCAGCATATGATATGCTTTTAACCATATTAACCTTTCATGCCTGAGAAAACATCCTACCACCTCTCTAATGTCTTTTATTGTCTTATATAGCGCCCTTTTTTCTGTTATTCTTTTTAATCTTTTCTTTCCGCGGGATTTTCATTACCCGCCTATAAAATCATATTTCAAACACTTCTAATCTTCATCAATCTAGAACGCGTCATCTCTATTTAGCTTTGTACTCTACTGTGATGCCAAGGGGAAGAAAAGAAAGAAAAGTAAAAGCCGTTTGTTGCTATTCTCCTCTAATAAATCGATAGTTATCGCTAATTATCGATATATCGAAAACAATTATAGCAACTGATAACTATCGATAGTTATCGATATATATCGATAGTTATCGGTATATCCATATATACGATAATTGCCGATAGTTATCAATACATCAACAGTTATTTTATTAATGAATATGTATCGATATATCAGTATATTGGAAATTATTAAACACTACTATTCGTAATGCATGCCGTTTAATTATCCATTACTTTTGTAATGAGTAACAGAAAGACATTACATTTCTTAAAGACAATGTAACTATTTTTGTTGAGTGTCTATCACTTTCTTGAAGAGTCGTGGAAGGAATTTACATTGGCAACTTTTAGAGTAATGGTGTAGGTACTGTTTGTTTAGCACTACCTTTTTTTGTAAACTAATAGAAGCATTTTTTCTCTGACTAGACCTTCATACCTGAAAAGGTGTCCTACTAACCTATCTCGTCTATTTCTTATTGACTTCCATAGAGTCCTCTATTCTCCTATTCTTTCTAACACCTCTTCATTTCTAACCTTCTCAATCTACGGTAGCCTCATCATTCGCCTATATCACCACATTTCGAACGTTTCTAACCTTTTATTTTCCGCTGCGCCCACTGTCCATGTTTCGCACCCGTATAGCGGCGCGCTCTAAACATACATATTTAACAATCTTTTTCGAATTTCTAAATTAACCGTTTGCGAGCATAGAAGTTTCTTCTTTTTATTGAAAGCGACTCGACCTTGCGCTATCCTCTGCTTTATAATCCAACTACTCCTTCCGTCCTGACTTATCTGACTTCCTAGATACCTAAAATCAGTCGCTTCTTCTATTTTTTCCTCTCCTATCTTTATATTCGCTCTATCCCTACTTTTTCTTCCCTTGTATACCAGTATTTTTGTTTTACTTTTATTTATTTTCATACAGTACTATTTTGTCAATACCGCTTCTATTTTATTTTATTTAAGGCTATCTCTAGGTCCTCCTTGCTAGATGCTAATACTGCTATATCATCTGCAAATCTAAGCATACTAATCTTTTGCCCTTGCACATCTATCCCTACAGTTGTACTGTCTTTAATGATGTTGATGGCGTCTTCGATGTATAGATTTGAAATAAAAATGTACTACATTCATAAGACATTTTGTCATCAAATGTATGTAGAAAAGGGTGCAATTAGGGTGATGTCTCCCTTATAAGATATTTACTTAATAGACTTTATGTTATTTAAACTGTATAGTTGTTATATGAATATGAAATGAGGATTTTTAACAAAAAGAAATTAAAAAATGATTCAGGTTAAACGG